AGTCGGAATTGACTCGACAACAGTGAGTTTGGTTTGGTTTGGTCTAGTTCCTAGTAGCTTCTTTATTGTACATTTTACCTTTCTCTGAGTATTAGTTTCTTTTAAACATCAATATCTACTTGAAAGCTTTTATTCATTCCAAAAGAGCACTGTACTAATCAGAATTTTAAAACTGATTTAAAACTTAGTTTTCTGAACGTCATCTTGCACACACTGTTACCCATCTCTGCGTCATGGGTTATTGAACACTTTCTGCTTATTGAGTAAGGAAAGAAAATAGGACCAGAAATGAGGGATTAAGTCTCAAAAACAATTTCCTATGAAACTGGAGTAGTTCAGAAGTAATAACCAGGATGGATTGAACAAAAATATCACTCTTTTTTAAAACAGCATAATTAAGATATGATTTATAGTCAATAAAATTCAACAATTTCCAATGTGCAATTTGATGAATTTGACAGATGTACATTCACATACCTACCGCCACATTGATGATATAGAACACTTCTATCGAACCAGAAGTTCCCTCGAGTCCCTTTTTAGTCAATTCCTTTTCCAGGTCCCAGAAACCATATTGATGACTTTCTATAAATATTATTCTGCCTTTTCTAGAATTTCATGTAAATGGAGTCATATATTATGTAGCCTTTTGTGTGTGGTTTTCTTCCCTTAGAATAATGCTTTTGAGAGTCACCCATGTTGCGTTTATCAGTAGTTCATTCCTTTCTATATACTGCTGAATAGAATACCATTGAATAGCTACCTGTACCACAACTTGTTTATCAGTCATCAGCTGATAGGTATTTGGGTTGTTTCCATTCATGAGCGAAGGAGCCATGAACGTCTTTGTGTAGACATATTATCTTCACTTCTCTTAGGTAAATATCTAGGAATGGGATTGTTGGGTCAAGTACACAGTAAGTCTCAGTCTATAAAAAACTTCCAAATTGTTTTCAATTCTGCATTCCCACTAGCAATGAATGAGCATTCCACTGATCCCTATCCTCACCAATATTTAGTATTATCAGTCTTTTAAAGCTTTGCCATTCTAGTGGTTATATCATGTGAAGCTTATTTCTGAATGCAGAAAGAATTACGAATTAGGGGAACAGTATGAAAAAGAACGAAGGGTAGCTTATAAAAAGAAAAATTTATTTCTTCCCAGTTTAGAGGTTAGTAATCAAAATTCAGAGTGTCTGTAGGACTGTGTTCTTTCCCCAAACCAAACCCAAACATACTGTCATCAAGTCAATTCCAACTCAGAATGACACCCATTGGGTTTCCGAGGTGGTAAATCTGTACGAAATGGCTGGTTGGCTTGAGCCACCAACCTTCTGGTTAGCAGTAAAATGCCTTAGGCACTGCACCACCAGAGCTGGTGTTTTTTCCAAAGGGTCTAGGATAATATTTTTTCTTTTCTTTCCAGGCTTAGGCCTTTCTTAGAATTCTCTGATTTGCAGATACTTATTCACATGATTGTTTTCTACCTGTGTCTGTCTCTTTGTGTTTTCCCTTCTGTTTTATAAGGAAACCACTCAGATGGGATAAGGTCACACACTACTCCAGTATGACCTCAGGTAACTAAATGATAACATTTTCAAAAACTCTAATTACAAGCAAGAGGAGCCCTAGTGGCATAATGGTTAAGTGCTTAGCTGCTACTTGACAGGTTGGTGCAATCCCTAAGACATTTGACTGCTAACCAGAAGGTTGGCCGTTCAAGCCCAACAGCCGCTCAACAGAAGGAAGATAGGGCACTCTACCTTCCTTAAACATTTACAGCCTCAGAAACCCAATGGGCATTGCTGTGAGTTGGAATCCACTTGATGGCAGTCAGTTTGGTTTTGGTTATCCACACCATGGGATAAAGAAATGGTGATCTGCTCCCTTAAAGAGTAAAACAACAGCAAAAAATTTGTTGCCATAGTTAACTGTCTCATAGTGACCCTATAGTAGAGAGTATAGTACTACAGCCTCATATGGTTTCCAAGGCTATAAATCTTTAGGGAAGTCAGACTGCCTCATCTTTCTCTTGCTGAGCTGCTGGTGGGGTCTGAACTGCTTATCTTTCAATTAGCAGCTAAGTGCTTAATTACTGTGCCACCTAGGCTCCTAATTATAGCCAAAAACCTTATGGTGCAATTCTACTCTGTCACATGGGGTCACTATGAGTTGAAATCGACTGGACAACCCCCACAAATATTTATAATGAAGGTTATTTTCATAAGTACCATATGTCAAGACTTCAACGTTATCTTTTTTGGGAATACTACTCATAACAGGGGTAGGTGGGGTGGAGACTTTTAATCTCTTAGAATAAAGGACTCTGGATGGCCAGATATGACTATCTAAAGTATTATAATAAATAACTGTCCTTATTACTCCATTAAAATTCAGGTAAAATATTAGTCATTCTTTTTTCACAGCTTAAAACTGAGCATTCAGTATTTTGAGATTTTAGTATCTCAAATTCTTCAGGCTTTTGATTATTTGTTAATGTTTTATCTTTAATTTTCACCTTTATTCTCTCTCCCATTTTAAAGCTCCTTCTCCCAAATTAATTTTCTTCAACTTCTTTTTCATCGCCTTACCACAATTCATCATGCAAAACCTATGTGAAATGCTCACATGAAGTCTTCAACATTTGAGGCACAATAAAAACTGAAGGAAAATAAAAACTGAACTACTTACACATGCAGTGAATTGCTTAGTATAGCCCTTCCAGTCATGATCTTTGTAACTCCCATCAAATGACTGGGTATGATTATGTAAATGTGAGGTGCTTGTGGCCCACCAAAGGGATTGGTTAGCTTGCTAAGTAAGTAAGGTGCACAGCATCCTTGTTGGGGGTGGGACCATGTAGAGAACCTTAGTATGGGATTGGTCAGTTTTGCCATCTCACTAGGCTTAAAATGAGCCATCCCAGAGGCAAAAAGGAAGGGGGGAGGAATCTCACTGTCATCAAGAAAGAAGAGCCAGGAGTGTGTCCTTTGGACCTGAGATCCCTGCACTAAACCTCCTCAATCCAGGAGACAGAGAGTTGTGACACTAGAGATGGCAAAAATCAGTGGCAAAGAGATGGTGGCAGCAGATCCAAAAGACCAGCAGAAGACAGAGCAGTGGGCTTCCTGGCCCACAGAGCGAGAAAGCAGACTGCCTTTGGTCAGAAGGTTTACTGGTGGAGTGTGGTGTCTCTCTGTCACATATCAGCTAAACTAAAAGAGCTTTTTAACACTTGCCTGAGCAGGACAAAGGACAAGGGGCCACAGGGCTGAGAGGCTGAGGTCAGAGAGAGCCTGCCTGATGACAACTGAGAAGAGGCTGTCCTGATCAAAGAAGAGTATCTTAAGCATTTCTGACCCTGAATTGTATCCTGTTACTTCCCTATTTGTACCCATTCCAAAGAAAGGTGATCCCACAGAATGTGGACATTATCAAACAATATTACTAGTACCACATGCAAGTAAAATCTTACTGAAGATAATTCAAAAATGGCTGTAGCAGTATGCTGACGGAGAACTTCCAAAAATGCAAGCTGGATTCAGAAGAGGACATGGGATGAGAGATATCATAGCTGATGTCAGATGGATTTTGGCTAAAAGCAAAGAATACTAGAAAGATGTTCACTTGTGTTTTATTGACAATGTAAAAGCATTTGACTGTGTGGATCATAACAGATCATAGATAACATTGAGAAGAATGGGAATTCCAGAACACTTAATTGTACTTATGAGGAACCTGCACATAGACCAGGAGGCTGTCGTTTGAACAGAGCAAGGGGTTACTGCATGGTTTAAAATCAGGAAAGGAGTGCGAGAGGGCTGTATCCTTTCACCATACTTATTCTACCTGTATGCTGAGCAAATAATCTGAGACGCTGGACTGTATAAAGAAGAACATGGCATCAGGATCAGAGAAAGGCTCATTAACAACCTGTGATACACAGAAGACACAACTTCGCTTGCTGAAAGTGAGGATGACTTGAAGCACTTACTGATGAGGTTTGAAGACTACAGTTTCCAGTATGGTTTATACCTCAATATAAAGAAAATAAAAATCCTCACAACTGGACCAATAAGCAGCATCACAATAAATGGAGAAAGGACTGAAGTTGTCAAAGACTTCATAATACTTGGTTCTACAATCAACATTAATGGAAGCAGCAGTCAAGACATCAGAAGATGTATTGCATTGGGCAAATCTGCTGCAAAAGACCTCTTTCAAGTGCTGAAGAGCAAAGATGTCTCCTTGAAGACTAAGGTGAGTCCAACTCAAGTCATGGTGTTTTCAATTGCCTCATATGCATGTGAGAGCTGGACAGTGAATGAGGAAGACCAAAGAAGAGTTGATGCTATTGAGTTGTGGTACTGGCAAAGAATATTGAGACTACCATGGACTGCCAGAAGAACTAACAAATATGTCCTGGAGGAAGTGTAGCCGGAATGCTCTTTGGAAGTGAGAATGGCCAGACTTCGTCTCACCTACTTTGGTCATGTGGTCAGAAGGGACCATTCTCTGAAGAAGGATATCATGTTTGGTAAAGTGGAGAGTCAACAAAAGAGGGGAAGGCCAACAATGAGATGGATTGACACAGTGACTGCAACAATGCTCTAAGGTACAGCAGGTACTGTGAGGCTGGCACAGGACCGAGCAGAGTGTCTCATTTTGTTGTACATAAGGCTGCTATGAGTTGGAGACGACTATATGGCACCTAACAATAACACAACACAACACTTCCCTAATAAACCTCATAATTGTGAGTTTCGTCTTTGAGTTCTGTGTAGCCATTGCAATGAATTACTGAACCTAGCAGTGAAGTAGTATGTGCTGTGGATGGGACAGTTGGTATGAGAACTGGTAAAAAGACTGGAGGGTGGATATATGTTTGACCTATACATCCTAGGAATTAGCCTTGGGCTGTTGTCGATCTTGATCCTTCTTCCCCTCTTGTGAAGTTAGGGGAAGTCAGATGCTGCTGCCATGCTGTTTTCACAACTTACTAGTAGTTTTTCCTGTCAGTGAAGTAATGCTTAATCTCCTAGCTGAGGTGGGTGATTTCTGCTGAGGTGGAGTCCGGCATTGCTTTACCAGATCCTCATCTGATGCTGAGGTCATCAGTTCTCCAATAAGAATTCTCTCCAGGCTTCCATCATCGATGCCTTTCCCCAGCCACCGCCCACATGGGAACCTAGTAGGATAGAAAAAACTTTTGAGTCACCAAATTTTTTTTCTACAGAATAATAATAAAAAAAATTGGTGTGGCCCATCATTTTAGTGGCTGTGGGTCGTTCTTTTAATTATGGAAAATTTAAAACATATAGAAAAGTAGAGGGAATAAGTATAACAGACATTCATATTCTCATCAGCTTGATTTAATATTTTGCCATGTTCTTTGTTTTTAAGTATTTAAAAGTAAATTACAGGTATCAGGACATTTCACCCCTAAAAACATAGTAGTAGGAATCTCTTAAAAAGTACAGATATTCTCTTACTTAGCCACAAATATTATCTCACCAAGCAAAAGTAAAAGTAATTCTTTAATATTTTCTTGTGTCTAAAAAAAGAAAAACAAAGCAAACTCACTGCCATCAAGTCAATTCCAACTCATAGTGACCCCCTTTGGGTTTCCAAGGCAGTAAATCCTCATGGAAATAGATTGCTCAGACTTCCTTCCGCGGAGTGGCTGGTGGGTTTGAACTGCCAACCTTCTGGTTAGCAGTCAAATGCCTTAGGCACTACGCCACCAGAGCTCCTTATGCCTTTTTTTTTTTTATGTGCTGTCGAGTCGGACCCAACTCATAGTGACCCCTCCTTGGGTTTCCGGGGCAGTATCACTACAGAAGTAGATTGCCCAACCTTCCTTCTGAGGAATGGCTGGTGGGTTTGAACTGCCAGCCTTCTGGTTAGCAGTCAAGTGCCTTAGGCACTATGTTACCAGAACTCCCATGTCTAGTGTATATTAAAATTTTGTGGTTAGTTTTGGGAAGAAAAATTTCAAACTAGAAACAAAGTGAGAATTAAGTTTATAAGAAAAAAAAAAAGAGAATAATGTTGCCATAAATGAGTCCTGCCTGTAACTAACAGAATCCAAGAAATCTTTTCCTTTTCCTGAAACATTTGAAGCTTACTTTTTCTTTCTTTTTTCCTCACAGTTACATCAATCTTTTTCAACACTTGTGAACTAAGCATTAGCAACAAGCATAATCTTTACTTTTTTAAATTACATTTTTGGCAATTTTGAATTATATAAATAAACAATTTTTTATTTATGTAATTCAAAATTGTAGCATAGTGCCTAAGGCACTTGACTGCTAATCAGAAGGTTGGTGGTTCAAACCCACCAACCACTCCTCAGAAGGAAGGTTGGGCAATTTACTTCCCTAGGGAGCTCTGGTAGCATAGTGGCTAAGACACTTGCCTGCTAACCAGACGGCTGGCGGTTCAAACCCACCAGCCACTCCTCGGAAGGAAGGTTGGGCAATCCTACTTCCGTAGTGATACTGCCTCGGAAACCCAAGGAGGGGTCGCTATGAGTCGGGGCCGACTCGACAGCACATAACAACAACAACAACAAGTGATACCACCTTGGAAACCCAAGGAGGGGTTGCTATGAATCGGGTTTGACTCGATGGCACATAACAACAACAGCAACATAAATAAATAAACAAAAAATTCCCAAAAAACTAAAATAAAATTCAGAAGGCAGTGGGAAAGCTTTAGGAAAAACACATACAAACAATTCTCAAACCTGTCTATGCCTAAAGAGTCTCAAAGAATTCTGAGCTTCCAATGGCATTTACTTACCTGTAGGTATGGCCTGTGATTTCATTTCTGACCATGACACAATCCACTAGCCATTTGGCTAACAGTCCAGAGTTATCATGACCAATCTGCACAGTGGTTAGCTTCCCCAAGTTCTGACACTGTAGGGAATGGAACACAGGTTATTCAATATATGACCCCATACTGCTGCATCTCAGTTTTGGCAAGGCACTTTGATTCCATCTAATATAACACCTGTGGAAGACCTACTCTACATGAAGTGCAGAAACTTACTGACATGTATTCCTGCTCTCAGGGAGCTCCTATTTAATGATATAAAAGATGTATGAAAATTAACTATTAAATGAGTTAGACCACACAAGATGCCAGACTAGAGACATAAACAAATGCTGTAAGAACACTGAGGAAGAAACAATTCTAACAGGGAGACCCAGGGACAATACAGAGATAGTGAGTTACACCATGAATGTCAAGAAAAATTTCATGAGATAGAAAAAGGATTCTCTTTAGCCTTAGTTACAGAGAAGTCGGGAAAACAACTATAGGAACAAAAAGTATCACAGACACTGATATTTTTCTAATAAAATGCTAAGGCAGAAGTGACCTCATACCTCACATTTACTAGAAGTCTCTGAAGCTATGGCAAGAAAAGCATAATTATCAGTGGCCCTACTGGTCTTTTTGTGGACAATTACAAAAGAAAGCAATGACAGTAAACACTTCAGTAAAAATAAGTATCAATTAAATCATGAATTTTTTTTTAAAATTTGTATTGTGATTCGGATGAAAGTTTACAGAGCAAATTAATTTTCCATACAGCAGTTCATACACATTTTGTTTCATGATACTGACTTCAATTGCCCACAATGTAACAGTTCTCTTCCCACTTTCTCCCCATAGTTCCCTCTTCCCTGTGTCCTTCCCTCCCATACACTCCTGCTCCCTGAGCTATCTCCCTGTACAAATACTGCCCTTCTGTTCTCCCATGATTGATTGCTCCAAGGACTGTATCTACCTGATGTAAATATTCACCCCATATCCCTGTCTACTGTGTGGCTGGAAGCTACAGGATTGAGTTCAGTTCCATATCTGAAGGGTAACTAGGGGTCTCATCATGCTCTATCAGAGCAGCAAACCTGGTCTTTTTTTTTTTTTTTATGATTTTGAGTTTTGTTCCACATTGTTCTCCCAGTCTATCCAAGATCTCCTGCACCGATCCCCCTCTGAGAGGTTAACAGTGGTAGCTGGGCACCATCTAGTTCTAGGTTTGCATGGTCTACTAGTCCCTTGGACTAATTGTTTCCAGGAGTTGTCTTTGGTTTTCTTCACTCTTCTTTACTCTAGACAAAGAGAGACCCATTGTTGTATCTAGACGGCTGCTTGCAGGTTTTTAAGACCCCAGTCATTACTCACCAAAGTAGGATGCAGAACGATGTTTCTGTGTAGTATGTTATGCCAATTGAGCTTGATGTCGTCTGCAACCAGAGTTCTGAGTCCACAGGTCCAAATACTCACTCCCTAAAGGTAGCTGGCTGTAGCCAAGAAGCCACCACAACCTTGCCCCTTGTCAGCTCTACTATAAACCCAGACATTCTTACAGCACCTACAAATACACATGTACAAACATCTGCCAACCCTATACACGGTCATGGGCACACTATCCCCTGCCTAGACATACTTGATCATTTAGCCTGCTCACCCATCTAACCACCAATGCTTGCCATCACTGACAATGCAGTACTGTATATGCAAAAGGGTTCATCCTTGTTGTCTGTACCCCTGTGTACCTCTGTATGTCTTCCTCTTCCTCAGTGTCACCATGTTGATAACTCACTTTTGGTACATCACCCTTCCCTTCACCCAAATCAATACTTGTCTCTAACTGTCTAGCAGTGTGGCCACTCCTCCTGTTCTGGTTCCCTAGTGCTGCTCTGACAAGAATAGACCACAAATGGCATGGCCTTAACAAACAGGAGTTTATTCTCTTATGGTTTGGAGGCTTTAAGCCCAAGTTCAAAGTGCTAGGCTCTAGGGGCTGGGTGAAAACCCCTAAATCTTGGGGTCCAGCTCTGCCTCTTGCTCCCGGCCCACTGGAGCTAGAGGCGTTTCTTCACTCAAGACAGCTGCAGGCTGCTGAGGCTGACAAGCCCAAGGTTGACAAATAAAATAGCATAGTTCCGATGTTACCAAACCACATGGCAGGCCATTAATTTAAGTCCATTGTAAGTCTCAAGGTTGGCAGAGCATGGCAGGCTGCTGAACAAGGACATGGCTACATGCAGGGTCCAAGCATGAGTCTAAGCTAGAGACTATTTCCCAAGGCTTCTGCTTATATACAGGAAGCAGACCACATTCCCTAAGGCAGCTACTCAGCTGCTCACAGTAGATTTCCACCATGGAGTTGATTACCATTTCATCATGGGGAATACTACATCCAGCTGCCCAGCCACTCAACCAGGCCCAGGCAAGCTGACACACAAACTGAACTACCACACCTCCCCTCCCATCCCTGGTAACCAATAAAGAAAGTTTCCTTCCATAAATAAACCTTTCCTTGACTTTTTACAATAATGAACTAATAAAAAATTTGTCTTTCTGTAATTTTTTTACTCAGCATAATGCTCAAGTTCATCCATGCTATGCAGTGTTTTGCAGATTCTACATTATTCTTAAGTGTTGCATAGTATCCTGTTGTGTGTATGTACCACAGTTTGTTTATCCACTCTTCTGTTGATGGGCACATAGGCACATCTCTTTGCTATTGTGAATAGTGCTGTGATGAACATGGATGTGCATATATTTATTCTTGTCCTGGCTCTCACTTCTTTAGGATATACAACTAGTAATGGGCCAATGCACTCCTTGGAAGGTTGCGCAATCTACTTCCGTAATGATACTGCCTTGGAAACCCAAGGAGTTGCTGTGAGTTGGGTCCAACTCGATGGCACATAACAACAACAACAACAACAATGGGTCAATTAAACCATGACTTTTAAATTCTGATAATTAAAAGATCACAGACCCAAACTAACTACATGATGGATGGAGACATCAGACAAATCACTTGACTGTATTGCTGTGTGAAAGCATCATCATCATCATCATCATCATCATCATCCAAGTGAGGGAAATGAGTCCACTGGGTAGATCAGGCCAAAATGAGCTCTTGAGGGATCATGACCCAGACGGGACTCTGCTATTCCTGTACGCTAAAGGTCAGGAAAATACAGTGTTCACTTAGTATCACTTTCCTTCTGAAGCATCAGCAGACATTTATCTTCCAGGATCAACCTGGAAGCGGACTCAAACACACAGAAATGCTTCACCATGTGGAACCTGAAAGCTGACCAACTACAAGGTTGAAAGATATTTTTACAAAATTACTCGTATTTGCCATTATATGGCCTGAAAGTCCTAAGAATGGATGTCAGCTCTCCTGTCTTTTTGCTAAATGATGCTCTGGTTCTGGCATGGAATATTTTACAGTAAGGCAGAGAATCTTTGTAGGGTTAGAATTTATTTGAATGTCTCGTATTTGCCACATTCTGTGATAGATACTATGTTGTTATTAATTGCCATCAAGTCGGTCCCAATTTATAGCGACAAGAGATGTACAAGACAACAAAATACTGCCTGGTCTGGCACCATTTTCACAATTGTTTCTATGCTTGAGCCCATCACTGTAGCCACTGTGTCAATCCACCTCATTGAGGGTCTTCCTCATTTTCACTGATCCCCTATGAAGCAAGATATCCTTTTCTAGGGACTGGTCCCTTCTGACAATGTAACTGAAATACGAGAGACAAAGTCTGCTCGTTCTTACATCTAAGGAGCATTCCAGCTGCACTTCGTCCAAGACAGATTTGTTCATTCTAGTGACAGTCTGCTATAAGGGCATGGGGGTGGCATCTTCTGATCTCTAATTTCACAAGGGGAACACAGAATCACCATCAACAGCCCAAGATTTATTCCTATGAGGACAGATACACTGCCACCCTCCAATCTTTTTATTAATTCTGACTAGCCTTCCCTCCTATGGCACTCACCTCTTCTCTGCTGGGTTCAATAATTCATTGCAATGACCTCACAGATCTCACAGACAGCTCACAATTATGAGGTTTATTGAGGAAGTAACAGGTTACAATTCAGGTTCAGGAACGCACTCAGGATACAATTCTTTGATCAGGACAGTTGCCTCCGTTGTGACCTCAAGCAACCCTCTCTGGCCCTTGGCCTCTCCACCTGGCCTCTGCCCTGCTCAGGCAAGTGTTACAAAGCTCTTTTAGCTCTGCCAATAGGTACTCCTACATGCAACCCACTCTGCCAGGAAGCTTCCTGCCCAAGGGCACTCAGCTTCCAACTGCAGAGTCAATCCATCTCATTAAAGGCCTTCCCCCTTTTTCATTGACCCTCCACTTTACCAAGCACGATATCCTTCTCCAGAGAATAATCCCTTCTGACATGACCAAAGTGGGTGAGATGATGTCTGGCCATTCTTGCTTCCAAGGAGCATTCTGGCTGCACTTCTTCCAGGACAGATGTGTTAGTTCTTCTGGCAGTCCATGGAACTTTCAGTATTCTTGGCCAATACCACACTCAAAAGCATCGATTCTTCTCTGGTCTTCCTTATTCATTGTCCACCTCTCACATGCATTATGAGGTGATTTGAACATACCATAGCTTGGGTTAGTCACACTCTAGTCTTCAAAGAGACATCTTTGCTCTTCAGCACTTGAAATAGGTCTTTTGTAGCAGATTTACTCAGTGCAATACATTGTCTGATGTCTTGACTGCTGCTCCCATGGTTGCCGATTGTGGAACCAAGTAACATGAAATCTTTGACAACTTCAATCTTTTCTCTATCTATTATGCTGTTGCTTATTGGTCCAGTTGTGAGGATTCTTGTTTTCTTTATGTTGAGATGTAATCCATACTGTTGATTATAGTCTTTAATCTTCATCAGTAAGTGATTCAAGTCATCCTCATTTTAAGCAAGCAAAGTTGTGTCGTCTGCATATCGTAGTTTTTTTTAAAATGGATTTTATTGAAATATAATTTATGTATAGTGAAATACACAAAACTAAAGTGACATGGGTTAATGGATTTTTTTTTCAGTGTTCCCTCCCTTCCCCTCCCCACC